AAGAGGAGGAAGAAGGTTTCTCTCTTCAAGTTCTGCCAGGGCAGAGACAGTTTTATGTTGGGCTGTTCTCCATTCAATTGCTACAAGGTATGGCAGGGATTCCCGTAGACACTCACACATGTCCCCCCAAAGAGGGGGTAGCGGTGGAGTATTGTTCCTTGATTCTTTTCAGAGAGTGCTCCTGCAAAAAGCAACAGCTTTGGAATAGCCAGGAAGACAGGGATAGCCACCACCACACCACATTATGACATATTAACGGGGCCATTTGAACCCCCACCACAGACGTTAGTATTTTTCCTGCCCATCTCTCACTGACTTGTAAAACTGCTGTTTACAGGTAGTCATTGCTGCTAGTTCTTTCTATAATTAACACAGACGCTCAAGGGCGTTCTGGGGTCATGTAAATATCAATATAGAGAGGATGCCAGGTTTCTCGACAGCAACTCTGTAAATGGGCAGTCCTCTACAGAGATGGAGCTTCATTTGTGTCACTCGGACTCGAGTATTTCTAGCCTGTGAGTTTTTGTCTAAATTCACCAATCTGAATTTAGGAGCCAGGATCCACAGCCGTCTGTGACCTCCTCACCACTGTGTTATACCCAACCTCCGCGCCTGGCCACTGTGTTGAACTCCTGCTACCGTTCTCTTTGTGTTCATTTTAACCTGTCTTTTTGGTCACCTTGAATAAATACTCCTTTCAGGAATCAAGAGGGAGGTTCAGACTTAGACTTCATATTCATCTCTTAAAGGCGATTCTGTTTTATCATTAAAAAATTAAGACCACTCCCCAAATTTAGCATGTGACTTTTTAAAGGCTCAAACGATTCCTTTAGAGGTCTAAGGCTTCAGATATCCATGGCTGTCAAATTTCAGGATGGCAGCAATACGGTGTCAGAAAGGACATTGCCAATTGTTGAGCCGAGGTCACATTCCTAAAGACCCTTTCCATCCTGTCCAATGAAACGCAGGTTGATGCTGCTTGAAATCCCCCTTCTACAGTTACCAAAATTGGCGAAATGAATTCCACGTAGGGAGTGCTTCTGTGGCCTTGCCTCTTAGAAAAGGTCTTGAATGGGCTCTTGGGTTTAAATTTAGAGACCTGCCTGTGCACTGCTTGTCAAAAGTTATCATTACTCTTAAGGGGGGGGGGGGGGTCCCTGACACTCTGTTCTGCTAGCCACATATTGTGTGTGTGTGTGTATGTGTGTGTGTATATGTATACATGTATATATACATATATATATTTATGATTTTGCATCTAGACTCACACTCACGCTCATGAGGGGATCAAAAGGCCAACAAAAGGCATCAGGATAGAACCCCCACAGCTTCTACAAGAGGGGGGCAGCCCTGCTTTTGCCTCTCCAGCTCGGAATCCAGGCCACCTGCGCTGTCCTCAGGTGAGCTGTTGAGGAGGGGATGCCGGGCTCTGCTGGCAGCTTTCCGAACAACGAACGAAGCACTTTGACCTTGGCCGCCATTTCGCTCGTTCTTTTCCTTCACATCACACCTGCTGCCACAGATCCCGTACACCTGATACCAGATGTGGTCAAAAGGAAAAGAAAAGGGAAAACCTCGCGCGCTCTAATTCCCTTTGGTAAGGAGCCCAGGCCGCCAAATCCATTACATAATTCCAGCTCAGGCTGACACCTGTGCCCGCACTGGAGCGGGGTCGGGTTGCAGAGCCTGTGCTGGGGACCCTGGCTTGGTAGTACCGTCGCCAAAAGCAAGCGGTGGCTGAACAAAGTTTGGGCTGGAGGTGGGTTCTCTTTCGTGATTAAGGTTGGACTGGATCCTGGACTTGATGTTTCAAGGACCCTGGTCCCCCAAATGTAGGGTTATGAAACTTAAAAATGATGTTTCAAAGGCCCGGAATGCTACTCGAGCGGTGTTCGAAGCCCCCTGGGTGTTCCAGCTTCGGCGAGCTTCGGGAGTGCCCCCTCCTATTTTCAAGAAAAGTGGACTTTTCATCCGCTGCGGGACTTCTCCCGAGATCTCTAATCTGCCCCCTCCGGCCCACCCCGGATACTATTGACGTGCGCCTTGTTGGTGCTCACGGCCTAGCACATAGACGTAGTCAGTAGCCCCGCTGGGGCTCTCCTCTCTCCTGAAGGCGGGACAATACTTCACTAAAGTACCGGCTGCTACCGAGGAGCCCAACAGAAACCTACTCCCACCACAAACGCGCATCGCTTCTTGACCGCCGCCGGGGCCAGCCGTCCACGGGGAAGGTAGTGTAGTGAGTGACCACTCACGAGCCCATTCTCTCCCAGGTCGAATGTCCAGGTCTTTGGGGGACCAGATCAAGAAAGTCCAGTCCGCCTCCCCATGCCTTCTACCCATCACCGCAAAAGACGTCAAGTGAGATAAAGATTTAGATCTGAATTAAGATTTCCAATATTCCCCCCCCCCCGAAGGAATTAAGAACACTAGACGTGACCCACCTACTAGAGCAGCATATCAAAGGAGCATGTTATGGCGATTATTTACAAATATGACCAAGTTGGAGAGTTAGGCTGGAATACACCCGGGCTCCGTTTCAAGCAGTTCTTAAGAATTTCGTTGAGGCCTGGAGCCATGACCTGGTCTCCCCGCGGCCGTAGGAGGAAATCCTTTGGGGACTTTGCATGAAAATATTGTAAAATTAAAGCCAAACCTCAGATTTCCCGAGGATCTCAAAAAGTAAAAATGTGCACGCCGCAAGAGCCAGAGAATTTCCCAGGACACATCCGGCCCTCTCACTCACACACTGAAACCAGGGTCGATTCCTGGTGTGCATCCCCGTCACTACCCGCCTCTTTCCCGTTCTCTGTCCACAGACAAGAGAAACGTCGTCGCGTCAATTTCTTTCTTCTACTAATTTCAAAGACCTCTGGGAATGTCCTTTGTACTCTACGCCCTAAATAAATATCCTCCCTGTACATTCGTGTGCGCCTAGAACAGTGTAGATCTGCGCAGCGCCAGGCGCTCTAGAACGTCTCCCTAAGGATCAGGATGCTGGCGGGGTCGGACAACACGCCGCCCAGTCTGCGAGAGCTAGGGAGCAACGCCAGCCCCGCAGAACCTGCGTTCTCCAAGAAGCAAGCCCCACCCAACAAAAGTTAAAGCAGGATGGCACTATACCTTGCCCCGGGTTACTCTGGCGCCTGTCTCCCAGTTTGGACATGCTGGAAGTGTTGGGTTTTGGGAAGTTTGCTTTGGCTGGGTGTGAGTTGTCTATATAAGCCCTGCTGCAAGTACTGTACGGTGGAACCCGCCTTGATGGACTCGGGTGTTAATTAACGCGAGGCTAATTTGAGCTCTAGGAGCCAGAGGCGGCAGGTCGAGAGGCGAGCCGCGAGGGGCCAGTGACCTCTAGTGGACAAGAGGGGATATGCAGCGCGAGGGAGCCGGCGCGCCAGCCTGGGTGGAAGAGAGAAAACCGAGCTGCAGCTCCGAATTCCTCCCAATCTAACGTCAGCGGGCAACACAAGCGCACGATTTAAGGGCAAAGAGCTGTCAGCAAGGGATGTAGCCTTAGCTCTTCTGAAGCATCTAAAACTTAAGTGAATACAGTGCGCGCACACACACACACACACACACACACACACACACACACACTCGCCTTCACCCTTCTTTAAGGAAAACCATAGGATGTATGCAGAAAGGGCTTGGAAAGTGAGTATTAAAGTGTTAGAGAAAGTTCACCACATCTGGTCTTGCTTTCAGAGAGTACTCCGGAAAGCTTCACCGGCTCAACCAGAGAAAGCAAAAGAAGGAACGACTGTTGTTTTTTTTTTTCTCTAAGTTCATATTCCTCAACCAAGCAAGGCTGGACAAGATGGGAGCAACTGAAACACAAAACAGTGTCTTAACTTAAAAATGATTTTCACAATGATCGGTTTCGCTCTCTCCCCTGTCTTTCACCAGTTAGTCGACTAGCGCCGAAGTTGTTTTGGCAAAGATTGTCCTGGGACTGCACAAGTTAAAAGCAAACCTTGATAATTCAGACCGAACTCTTGTTAAAAAACAAAAAACCTCTAAATAAATGAACTTTCCATTTTGGCTTTCCCATTCCTCATTCTGCAGCAGAATGCTGAAGGTGGCTTGTCCCTCGCCCCAGAAAAAAACAGAAAAAACAAAAACTGGAGTCTCCCAGCCGCAGAGCCCAAAGCCCCCAAGCCAGACTGGTGTTCTGACCCCACTTGAGGTCTTGAGGTTGAGCTAGTCTCTCTTCCGGCTTATGGAGTTTTTGAGGACGCCTCAGTTTTTCTTCCTTGGGCATTCTTCCTCCCCAGGCTGAAGTGTGAATTAGTGGCCTTTCCAAGGCGCCAGGAGCCTGGAAAGTCCCGTGGGTAACCAAGTCGTGTTCCCCGGGACAAGGACTCCAGGGGGTGAAGAGTTTACTCTTCCTAGGCGGTGACGCGTGCTGGCTTGGGAATGTTTTCACACCTCAGGAGCTAAGAGGGTCTGGAGCGCACCAGTCCTGTGCGCTTGAGTCTTGTTTAGGGCCCTGTTTGGGAACCATTATGAGCAGAGGTGAGGTGGGGTGGGGGGGCGGGCATCTCTGGTAGAGAGTATACAGTTTGGTCGCTGGAGAAGGAAGTGAGCAACCGGGGTTTGGGTGACGCTGGACAGCACTGATTTTCTCTACACTTCTCTTTGCTTTGACTGATTTGCCTGGGCCAGAGGAGCGGAACTTCACCCCTGCTGGGGTTGTTGTTCAGAACACCTCCAACGAAAGGGGTGGAGGAGGGGCTGAACTCCGGAGATCAGGCACTCCCACACCCTGGAGGATGGGAGCTCCAGCAGAAAGGCCGGAGTGTCGCTTACCCTGGGGACTGGGTGACACATCTCAGTGAGGCCAAAACTGTACCCCGACAAGACAGGAAAGGCGGGATAAAGATGAATCACAGACACCGAATATTTTAAGGAGCTGCATTTTTTTGCGGACTAACGAAGGATGGAGAACTGTTGAAGCAGAGCATCGCATGAAAGTTCCGCGGTTAAATCTATGGCACAACAAACACAATGCCAACAGATTAAACTGAATTGTAAAAAAAAAAAAAAAAGATGTCATCAGTAAACTAACCAATTAAACAACTCAATTTAAAAACATACAGATGTACCTTTCTGTCTGTAACAGTGCCAACGGTACCCAGAAGACCTTCGCAGTCCTAGAGTAGACAAACCTGTAAGACTCCGGAATAAAACAACGATAACAAAACTCCTGAGGCTCCCACGTCGGGATACAGTGGAGTTCCTGCCACTCTGTGCCCGAAGAAGGAAGGGTGCTGAATTGCTCTTGGCACCGCTCGGGGCACATAGGGTGGGTCTCACCGGACTGGTAACACCACATCTAAGACTGGGGGAGCAGAGATAGAGAACCAACTATGCCCAGGTCCTACTTGCTAGCCTGCAAAATGGAATCCCCTCGGCCTTGGGCACTCAAGACCTTGGGGATTTATCCTGCCTGCCAGGCTGCTCTTTTTATGCCCTCTCCCTGAGGCTAAGTGAGTGCCCTTTTCTCTATAAGCTAGAACTTGGCAAGGGCAGACGTGAGTCTGGAGACCCCAAGGAACCCTTCTCAAACTGCAACAGGCCACTCCTGCTGAGGCCACTTCCAGCCTTTCTCGAGACATTCTGGGTGGCACTGACCAATAATGGCCCCAGGCAGTCAGCTATGAGCGTTCGTTCACAGTGGCCCTCTGCTCCGGGCAGCTATACCCTGGCACTAGTGACCGGTGCCAGAGTAGAGGTCCCAGGGGTTAGCTCTCAATTTGCTCCACGTAGCAACGCGGCCGCTGTCTCTTAAGGGACTGCCTCCTAGACCTGTTGTGCTGAGAATCCCTCCAGCCTAGAAAGATTTAGAAAGGCTTGCACGTTTAACTTCCAAAGCCTCAAAACAGGGCACCCGTCCATCCTACCTCTTCTCCGGAGCTCCTCCATCTGCGAATAGAACCCAATAATTCCCAAACACGTTCACTGGAAAATTTGCCCCCCCTCAAAAAAAAAAAAAAACCCTAAAGTCCAGGATAGTAAATGATGAACTTCCTTGGAGACCTGTGGCAGTTACAGGGTCACCAAACCTTGGGAAAGGTTGTAGGCTACTCCTAGCCAGGTGCTGACAGCTGCGCCTAGCTCTGAAGGGTGGCCCTGTTTTATTCTGGCTCTCGGCTACTGATTTCTTTATTTCCTATTTTGGGCTTGAGTTACAGATTTTATGTGCAGGGAGATTTAGAAAAACACATTTCGACTCTTTAAGTTAATACATACATACACATATATGCATATACATATGTGTGTGTATCCTGAAAAGCCCCTTTCTGTGTTTTCTATGGACTTTTACTTACCCCCCTCCCCGCATTCCCGGAGTGTCGCAAACTGCAAAATTTTAGCAGCTGGATGGAAGGGGCAGGTCCTCCACTCAAGCCTGAGGAGAGCAAAAATTGCAACCAGTTTTATCCTTTACTCTTATTCCACCTTAATGGGCAACAAGGATCTAAGCAAAATAGTTTCTTTGGTTGTTCCCTAGCGCGACTTGCAAGTCAAACCCTCATTGGCTTAGATTCTGGTTCTCAAACTTTTGATTGAGGGAAAGGAGGTCAAGTACTTCACACAGTCTTTGGGGCTTTAATAAACAGAAGAGAAGGGGAGAGAGAAAGAGAACAGGGAGGGGGGGGAGAGGGGAAAGGCGGAGGGGGGAGCAAGAGAGAGAGAGGCAGACAGACAGACAGACAGAGAGAGACAGAAACAGAGACAGAGAGAGACAGAAAGACACAGAGAGAGAGAGAGAGAGACTGCCCTAGAGAAGTGACCAGCCCTCTCATTGGCCATCAGTGGTGATCTTCCCACTTCCTCCTGCTGCATCCCCTCTTTGACAGCCAGCCCATCTCTGGGATCGCTCCCAGGGAAACTTGAAGAGTGGTTGCTCCACTGTGAAATTCCAAGGCATATTTAGGATGCCCCGTCCTAAGTGGGTGGGGACCTAAGATTTGGGTCTCCACTCCTGCAGAGTTCAAGAGTTAGGACTTGTGGGTTTTCTCACCAAGGGCCAAAAAGAGGTCTCCAGCGAAGGTGAGGATCTGAGACCATTAGCCATCACTCCTGTGAGCCTGAAGGAGTGACAATGTTCTGCTGGCCATCTCCTCAAGGAGATTTGCCTTCACTTATATCTTGTTTCCAACCTCTAAAACACAGCGTATTTTTTTTTCATTTAGGTATTAATTTTAAAGACTCACAAAACAATGCATAAGATAGAGTTCACCTGCCTGTATTCTCCTGCTGTTAGGAAAAACTGCTTTGACTTTATTTTTATTTCAGTTAGTATAAAGAAATCATCGGAAAGATGTCTGGCTCATGAACTAAGCAAAGCATTTGTAATTTATTTAATAACGTTTAAGCACCAGGCATTGAACTAAATGAGGTTTTTTCTCACTACATTTCACACTAATTTAGGAGCCTCTCCTTTTCTGTCCAGGCTATCTTTATTTCTTTGTGGAGCAGCTAGTCTTGAACTCCTGATCCTCCGGCCTCCAATTTTTGAGTGGTAGAATTGCAGGTGTACATTACCATGGTTCCTACATTCCTGCCAACTCTAAACCCGAGGCACAGCAGGGAGCTAGTCAGTGAACACATCTATGGCACATCTAAGTGAAAGCTCATGAGGACAGATACTTGTAATGAAGGAAACTCACGGTTGTCCATTAAAAAAGAAAGCTGCAGTTAATAAACTGGACCAGATGCTATGAGTACCCTGGATGGAGACAACCACCAGTGTGGAAGCCTTGGCACAGATTTGTATTTGCACCGAAGCCAAAGATCTTGACAGGAGCCAAGTGGTTCCCCAAGGAACTGTTAATAATGTCTGTTTCATGCTTTCATGCCTTTAGAAGAAATCCAAGCTGGGTGTGGTGGTGCACACCTTTAATCCTAGCACTCAGAAGGGAGAAGCAGCTGAATAAGGCAAACCTTATCTACATAGGGAGTTTCATGTTAGCCAGAGCTACATGTGAGACTCCACCCAGTCCCCCCAAAAGGAAAAAGAAATTCAAAGTAACAGTTTGCCATAAACATAACAGTTTTTTTAAACCAAGCGTTAGGATTATGGAAAACATTAGAATGGTGTTAAAAGTGACATCAAATACCACTACTAAAGATTATAAGGAAAGTCTTTCCAAAATTATTGATTATGCCAAACACACACATTTAAAACAACAGCACACCAATTATGTCAATACACACATTTAAGAAAAGAAGAAGAGGAGGAAAATGGGGAGGAGGAGAAGGAGAAGAAGGAGGAGGAGGAGAAGGAGGAGGAGGAGGAGGAGGAGGAGGAGGAGGAGAAGGAGGAGGAGGAGGAGAAGGAGGAGGAGGAGGAGGAGGAGGAGGAGGAGGAGGAGGAGGGAGCAGCAGCAGCAGCAGCAGCAGCAGCAGCAGCAGCAGCAGCAGCAGCAGCAGCAGCAGCAGCAGCAGCAGCAGGATGTGGTGGTGTATGCTCATAACCCTGAGTCAGGAAGCTGCAGAAGCAATCACAGTAGAACAGACCGAAGTCAAGGGACAGCCTGGGCTGCATGGACAAGTTCTAAGCCAGCCTGGGCTAAGAGTGAGACTAGTCGTAAAAAAACAAAAAAACAGTTTAGTAAGATTTCATTTTGAAAATGAATCTGGTTAGTTTTTATACGGAATTTTAAAATTTAAGACAAAAGAGGTAACATTAAAAAGAAAAATCCACTCTCTAGTTATACATCATGACATGATAATAAAGTAAAATTTAAAATTTAAGTAAATGTGTTGAAATATGCAAAGTATTCATCTGGACGACTATGTACTTAATTTGAATAAAGTCATTTCCAACAATATATTTGGATTCTTTCTCCATGCCTTCCTATTTTTTCTTTCTCATACTTCTTTTTTTCTTTTCTTTTCTTTTTTTGGTTTTTTCAAGACAGAGTTTCTCTGTGTGTAACAGCTCTGGCTGTCTTGGAACTCACTCTGTAGACCAGGCTGGCCTCAAACTCACAGAAATCCGTCTGTCTCTACTTGGGATCCTGGGATCCTGCTTT